GTTCTCTGCTCCTTTTTCCCTCTCTTGTCCCTCTGGAATACCTATAATCCTTATGTTGGATTTCCTAATTGAGTCGGATATTTCTTGGAGAGTTTCTTCGTTTCTTTTTAGTCTTAGTTCTCTTTCCTCCTCCATCTGGAGCATTTCTGCTTTGCTGTCCTCAATATTGCTAATTCTTTCCTCCATATTGTCAGCCCTGATGCTTAAGGCTTCCAGATTTGTCTTTATCTCTTCTATTGTTTTTCATCTCTAAGATTTCTGATTGGTTTTTCTTTATAGTTTCAATCTCTTTTGTGAAGAAACTCCTGATTTCATTAAGTTATCTATCTGTGTTTTCTTGTATTTCGTTAAGCTTTTTTATGATGGCTATTTTGAATTCTCTGTCATTAAGGTTATACATTTCTGTGCTTTCCAGGTTGACTTCTGGGCACTTGTCATTTTCTTTTTGGTCTAGAGATTTAACATATTTTTTCATAGTGCCTTCGGTTTGGGCTTATTTTTCCTCATAGTGAAAATATATGGTTGCAGTTTCCTCTTGCCACCGCTGGGTGGGAGTCAAGGGCTGTGTATTCTGGCCCGCCTTGATCTGCGGGTGCTCTGGTCGGCCCCCAGCTGAGCTGAAGCATGGCTGAGCTGAAGCACGGCTGAGCAGAGGCTGCTAGGTGTGAAGCGTGGGGACAGCTGGAGCTGGAGCATGGGAACAGCTGGGACTGGAGCTAGCCAGGCTGAAGCAGCTGGGGCTCAGGTGTGGGTGAGTTGAAGCAGCTGCAGCTGAAGCGAGGCTGGGCTGAAGAAGCAGGAGCTGGAGTGCCAATGGGCCAAAGAAGCTGGAACTGGAGTGTAGCTGGGCTGAAGTTGCTGGAGCCAAGTCAGCTGGAGCCTGAGCACGGCCAATCCGAAGCAGCTGGAGCCGGGGGGGGGGGGGGGGGTGAGCCGAAGGAGCTGGGGGCAGGGCACGGTCAAGCTGATGCAGCTGGGGCCTGGGCACAGTTGAGCCAAAGGAGCTGGGGCTGTTGCACGGTGGAGCTGGGGCAGCTGGGGCCATGTCGGATTCAGCTGGAACAGCTGGGGCCGTGGTGTGGTGGAGCCAGGGCAGCTGGGGCTGTGTCACGATCTAGCTGGAGCCACTGGGGCTGTGGCATGGTGGAGCCTGAGCTGCCACCGCCTCTGGTGCAGGGGTGCGGGCACGCTGAGTCCCTGGTGGGGCCCAGGTGCCTGGGTGCTGCTGCCTCTGGGGGTGGGGCTTGGGCACACTGTGCCACTGGTGGGGCCCTGGCGCATGGGGGACACTGCCTCTCGGGGTGGGGCATGGTCATGCCGCCACTGCTGGTGGGGCCCGGCTGCCTGGAGGCAGCAGCCTCTGGGGGCGGGGCTGAGCTGAAGCACTGCTGTTCTGAAGCGCCTGGTGGGCCGGCAGGGGAGGGGAGGGGTGCTTACTTTCACCTCCCTGATCTCAGAAGTCTCTCCCCTCGTTGTCCCTCTCCACTCTCCTGAGGGCCTAGCTTGTTGAAAGTACCCTCACAGCAGTTCCACTCCCTCTGTAGGGGGATTCCCCAAGGCCTGTGAGGGGTCTTGGAGTGTGCCAGTTTTCCCAAAGAGACCCGCCCCTCCCCCCTTCCCTGAGAGCCACCTGGTCTCAGTCTCAGGGTCGCAGTCCTTGGGGAAGGAAGGGAGCTCCTCTTACCTCCTTCCACTTACTCTGGGGATTCCAGCACCTCAGTCGTCAGGTGTACGGCTGCCTGGGTGCCTCAGACGTCCCCTGTGTCATGTGAATAGCTTCTGTTGGAATATGAATGTCCTTTTTGTTCTGTCTTAGAGGGGGAGAGTTTAATGGGGGAAGCTCACTCCACCATGATGCTCTTTCTGGAGATTTTTGATGTTAAAAAATTTTTATTCTCAAGAATATTGGGACACTCTGCTCTGGAGGTTGGGCAGAAGTTGGAAGTGAATAGAGGAAGAAGTAGGAGTAGAAGACAAGTCACAAGCTTGCCTTTTTCCACTTCACACACCCACCTGGTTAATCTACTTGGCACAACTGGAGAAAGAAAAATAAAAGCAGAAGGAAGAAAGTAGCCTATGCCTTCATCAAAACTCAGTAGGATGATTTGTCCCCAGTGTCCCAAGTTGTGTGCTTAGCTGGGCCTAGTTTCTCTAGGACTCATGGTTGAGCTAGTCAAGTCTTCAGTGATGCAGGGATGTCTGTTTCACCTGACCCTTTCCTGGCCATCCTTTGTCACTCCATGTCTGTGCTTGAGCTATAATCTTGACAGAGCTCCCTGCCCAAATTCTCTCTAGAATTCTAACCCTTTTTATCTTCTCTGTCATTCCTCATTTCATCAATTTCAGCTTTCCCAGAATTATGGTCTCCTTCTCCCTGCCTCTCCTGGCTTTCGGCTAAGATGCAAAATAAGCACATTTTTATAAGAAAAAAACATCCACTGGTCAGCCATCCCTTCATCCAAGTGCATTAACTACATCTTGATCCCATGTCAACTTGGAGGCAGAATGCAGACCCTTCACTGATTATCACAGGAATCCCCATTACTTCAAGCACTTTGACTTCGTTTTTCTGGTCTTTACTGAAGCTTTGTGGGTCACACAGAGAGGTCAAATCAAGTAGCACATTAGATATTTCTCTTCTCCTAAAGACCTTCTCTTCCCTTGCCCCTAGTAGCATTGTTATAGGAGTGGTTTTCTCTCTAAGGCTTCCCCTTATGGCTCCCAGCCCTCTGGCTTCTTCCTCTTTGATTCTCCGTCCCTACTCCTTCTGTGCAGAGCACCAAACTCTCCAAGGTGCTTAACCAAACAAAGGCCTGTCAATTGACAGTAACCCTCTTTGGAAGGCAGTTTACCCATTCCCTCTTGTTGCCTGACTTTGCCCCTTGAGACCTTACCCTTCTCTCACAGCTTATCATATATATTTCTCCCAAACAAATAAAATGCCCTTCTCAAGAGGAAAGCTACCAGCAGCTAAGAGAATAAAATGGCTCTATATCCTTCTGCCCTATGGATTTCCACGGAACCACTAACCTTATCTCAGGTATATCCTCAATTACCAATTCATTTCATGGTTTGTTAATTTCATGGGCTTATTGAAAAGAATACAGTGCTTTCCCTTTTGCTTTATTTTTTCTTAAAATTACTGTTCATGGTGAGCATGATCTAGAACAGTTCTGCATATGCACTTAAGGACAGGTAGGCATTGTCCTTCTAGAAATGTACTTCCTCTTGGGTTTTAATTTTTGCCAGTAAAGACACTGACTGGATGTTTAGCAGAACTGACATTACTGACTTTATCTTGGAAATGGAAAATAGGATCAAGTGAGTCTGACCCTTAGCTCTGGGCCTTAAACGACATGTATAATTTCCAGCAGATCCCACTCACCTCTATAGGGTAAGGAAAAAGGCATGATTCCTCAGTAGGGCATGTAGATAGGAAGATCATTTCTTTTGCCCATGACAGTCATGGCATAATTATAAATAGTAGCCCTTTTCTCTCTCAAAAGTGTCCCATTTTGAACATTAATATATATAGTCACCTGGGTGAGGCACTTATAGACTAGAGCCTAGCACAGTGACTGGCCTGCAGTAGAAGGGTTGCCTATAGGGCTTAGGGATGTGGGTTCTGTGGTCCACCTGTGTGGATCAAGTTCTGGCTTCCCCACCAGAGGACCTAAATCAGTTAGAGTTATTAGCTACAAATGACAGAAACTGACCCTGGCTGATTTAAGCAGAAAAGGAATTTATTAAAAGGATTGGGGGTGGCTTATCCAAAATTGCCAGGAAACCTGGAGAACCATACTCAGAGGCTAGGCATTTGGGGGGCTATCCAAAATCACATTGCAAAAGTGGTCTGGTGATAGAAGCTACTGCTGTGCCTTTGAAAGCTACAGTTCCTCCCCCACCCCCAAATGGCAACACTGGAGTCCTTAGGACCTGACTCTGCTACAGCCAGCAGTGGCCCTGAGAGGGCTCTCCACGACCCCTGCTTTTTTCGTAGGAAATCTACAAAGTGGAGCTCTGAGGTTGCCCCTTCCCCAGTTCATTTCCACACATCTCTTAAATATTCACTTTTACTTTGCTTCTATGGAGCCTCTTCTACCATCCACATTGGAGCTCCTGGGTCTCTGATTTCAACATCTGGGAATATTCTATTCCAATATTTGTATGAACATACAAATTAATGAGCACAAAACAGGCTCTTCTGTGAGGCTATAAACCTTCATTATAGATAAAGAAGAAAAAGGTAATGTAAAAGTCTTGTTTAATCTAAAAATATCAGAAGGACAGGCTCAGATTTTATTTAGAAAAGCAGTACATACTGACAAAAAAATCATTAATCTACCCCTAAATCTATCCCCACCATAGACTCTGATATACCTTGGCTTTTTAACAACTTATATTGAGCAATTTTTTACAGACATTGTCTAGCTCCTCAGGACAATGCACACCCTGGGATTTAGACATTAGCCACTGACCTTGCTAAATCAGCAAGTCGTTATCTCCAAGTCCTGTGCCGTTGAGCTCTCTGGAGAGGTCACGGGGAGGGAAAGAGTCTCCAGTCCCATTCAGATTTACCCAACTTGTTTGTCAAAGATGCCCAGGCAGATGAATCTATGGGAAGACTGAGCACAGAGTCAGCATTAAATGGAGAGGCAGATATGCTATTCAGGCTGGTCTCTCCAAAGCTGGCATTCCCATCCCCAACGAGCAACCGAGACACTGCCCATGTTTGCCAAACTCCAGAATTAGAAAGCTGAGCCTGGGCTACTGTTGTCCAGTGAATTTGAATTTAATGGACAATGATGAGATTTGAAAGTGATTCAAATGTGTTCGGCACTCAATCATGCTCTTGGGAGAGGAGGTTCTCACGGTGGTAGACGGAATTTTCTGTTTTAATTACAAACCACTAGTGAACTATATTTGAAATTTTGCATATAATAACCAAGTCCAGATCTCAATTTTCATTCCACAATTGGATGCTGTGAGAAAAGAGTGGCAATAATTGTTTCTTCCAAATTTTTGCATGCTGAGTCTGTGAGGCACTTGTAAAACCAGAATGGAAGTAGAGGCAGGGAGCCAGGCTAAGTGGCCTATCTGGATCTTAATTCATCGGACACTTAGTATAGGTTTGTTGTGCTTCCTTCCTCCGAACCTCGAAATTTTACAGAAAATAAATTTTGGACTGATCATAAAAATGATGACAGTGAGGGTATTTCTGCTAAAAGAAAGGCTAAGCCCATTTTTTAAAGGCAAAACAGACTACATAGTTTATACATGAATATGAGAACAAAATAACTGAATTGGAAAAAATCTATGTTCAGTATAGCTAATGTCCCCGAATAAATCAGAAGTTGACCTCACGGGACTTCAGCTATCTTGTGCAAGCTAGAAGCAGATAATCCCTTTTGAGTCACTGAAACCTTGCGGAACATGGCTGTGCATGGTGGCAAAAGAAGGCACGCCCCAGGGTGTGTGGCTTGGTGAGGGTCCTGGTTGGACTTTAGCGCTTACTGACCCTGAGCCAGCTGCCTGGGCTCATCCCATGGCCTGAGCCTTAGGTCAGTTTCTAGATGGACTTTTCTGGTCCTGCACTAAAAGCAGTATGTGGAAATATAAAGGCAAGGGGTCTGTAATGGGTTGAATTATGTCCCCCAAAAAGATGTAAAAGTTCTAACCACAGTATGTGTGAATGTGACCTTATTTGAAAATAGGGTCTTTACCAAAAATCAAGTTAACATGAGGTCATTAGGGTGGGCCCTAATCCAATATGACCTTATCCTTATAAAAAGGGGAAATTTGGACACAGAGGCAGAAACACACAGAGGGAAGCCAATGTGAAGACACAGGGAAAAGACAGTTATCTATAAACCAACAACGTCTGAGGCTACCAGAAGCTAGGAGAGAGACCTGGAGCACATCATTCCCTCTCATCTTCAGAGAGAGCATGGCCCTGCTGACATCTTGACTTTGGACTTCCAGCCACCACAATTGTGAGACAATAAATTTCTCTTGTTTAAGCCACCAAGTTTGCAGTACTTTGTTATGGCAGCCCTAGCAGACTAATATAGAGATGAACAGGAGGGTTACAGCAGAATGCAAAGCCTCCAAGCGTGACCTGGACCCGGAGATCAGGATTCAACAGAGGCCACAGCTCCCCCAAATTTGTCTCCCAAGGCTGTGGAAACCACCTAGCTGAGGCAAAAAATGAGCCTGGGTGAGGGTTGTAGAGCTGCAAACCTATGGGAGACGGATGGCCATCTCTGGGGGAAGGTGGAGGGTGCACAAAATGCACTGGGCGCTGCTGGCTCTAGGCCCGTGGAGAGAGCTTCCGGCAGACATTTTGCCAATAGCTCAGGGATAAGACAAAAGTGTAGAGCCGTGGGCCCACAGAATAAAGAGGACAAGGTCTACAGACAAGGTTTTGGAGTTAAGAAAAGCACACTCAGAGCCAAGAGGCTTGAGCCATTCAGAGATGCAGAAATAAGCTCCTGACTCAAGTCAAAGCAACTGAGCTGAAGGAAAACAGGAACAAACAGTTCTCAAAAATAAAAATGTGTTTATATGTCAATTTTACCTCCATAAAAATAAATAAATAAGACAAAAAATAAAAATGTGTATTAGTAGTCATTATTAATGGGTCTAGTTTCCTTACTACAGAAACTAACAACATTTGAGGCTGCTGGAGGATTTTCAAGCTGGCCAGAGAGGGATACCCCATTTCTGTATAATTACATCACACCAAGAACTCAATTGGCTCCTTTAGGCAACGTTTCTGAATGTTTTCTACTTCCTACAGATAAACATCAAGCCATAAATTGCGTATTTGATCCAAGGGAAATATCAAGGCAGTTGCCAGTTCAGAAAAGATAAAAGTCTGATGGCCTAGGAGTGAATTTACTGAGTCTCATGTTATATTTGCAAAACAACGAGAACTGAACTGAGCCTGCAAGTGAAATGGAAATCAGCGTTTCAGAACAAAAATAGAATAATGCATGAAATCTATCCACTCTTGATTACATCTGAGCAGGGGCAGAGGCACTGGGTTTCTGTTTGTCATTCTTGTCTTATCCACACGTACATGAGCTAGCTAACTGAGATATATAATCATAGTGTCCCAAATGGATCCATTTTCCTAGACAGTTTCAAATCATTTCATAACCACATTCACTTTAAACATGCTTTCCTTGTAACCCATGAAAGGAATGTTACATTCCTCTGCCACACACAATATGAACATTATTCACGTTGCCAGATGAGCAAAAGAATGCCCAGATGTTTGTTATTCTGAAATCCTGCAAATTGAAGACGACCTTGGGGACCTTGTTTCTTCTCAAGAAAACTGTCTCTGACTCTTAGAAGAAAGGACCGTAAATACATCACATAATCACAACAAAAAATGCCTAGAAAATCTTTAGAAATATACATAGTAATGGGAATGCCATTTTTCTTTGTTTGCCATAGCAGCTGAAATTAACAAGTATGTATGTGTCATTTACCTTATATTATATGATAGAAATGAAATGCTTCCATATGATGCCAAGTGAATGATCTCTGAAGAGTGTTACCTGAAACTTTACTGTATTCTGGAGATCTTTAAGGGAGGAGGTCAAAGGTCATTTGTTAATTAAGACATTGTTTCACCAGATTAAAAAGATCTTTACAAAAAGTATAATAACTATATAGAGTCACTGAATCATCCAGTTGGGGGACATTTTAGTCGGTAACTAGACTCAACCAGAAATCAATCTGATCTTGATAATAAAAGTGATCAAAAATACTTAATTGAGTATTTTTTAATGTGTTATGTTCTACTGTATAAAGACACTGAGAGGAAGATACACATACAACCCAACCAACAAAATGATTGGATTAGAGCAATTCTATCTAATAGGAATTATAGTAATAAAGTGGCAACTGTCGATATCAGTTGAGGACCTATTACCTTTTGAGCAGGGTACTCAGGCTTTACATGCACCATTTCCTTTATCCTCACAACTCTTTGAAGCATATGTTATTATCTCCATTTTACAGGTAAAAAAACCAAGGCTTAGGGCAGTACTTGCCAAACATCTCACTGTGAAGAGTCTGAGATTTTACCCTACCTGCAAGCTAATGAGTTAGCCTGCCACAGTTTCATGCTTGCTAGCAGAAGACACGAAACTCTTGGGTCAGAGACAAATGATTTTGTTTTCTTGGCACAGCAAACAGCATGAGCTTCATGTATACATCAATTTCTTACTTAGAGTGACCAACCATCCCAGTTTGTCCAGGACTGTTTCAGTTTTAGCATTAAAAGTCCCGGGCAAACCAGGACCGTTGGTCACTCTAATTCCCCCTGCCCCAAGTCCTTTGAAGGCAATGAGGAGCAGCCCAGGTGTGATGCACACACAGTGGGCCTGACTCACAGCTGAGGAACCCCAAGCTTAGGAAACCCCCAATCTTATAAGGGAGCTGTTAGTAAACTTGCCCAACTTTTGCCCCTGAAAAACACATAGTTTTTATTATCTTGGATAGCAAACAAATCTGCCCAGTGCCCTAGAGGGGGACACTATATCTTCTAAGATTGTTCACTATACAAACATCCTTGAGAAGATTATCTGATACAAAAGCTGTTGCAAGTGCAGAAATGTGAGAGACTCAGAGAGAACTATCTCCCACTCCTACAGCTAATAAGTGGTGAGGGCAGTATTCAAATCCAGATCCTTCAGATGTCAAAACCCATGTGCTATCCTGCCTTTTAAATTATTATGCTCAGGTTTACAGAGTTAAGGTCAAAAGAGGGTGAGCTTTTCTTTTAGCTGAAGCTTTGAACTCTTAGTCATATTAAAAAAAATGTTATTTTCAATCACGAATGAATTTACAAAATAGAGATTTAGAGGTATTGCAGGAATTATACTATAATCCAAAATAAAGTTAAATGAGTTGGTTAAGCTAAATGACTTCTAAGAGCTCTTCCTGCCCTGAAAGTCTATGATTCTCCTTCCACATTATTACTACTTGCTATTTTCTTTCCTCTTGTTGTGAATGCCTTACACAAAGATGTATTCTTCTGCCTCATGTTGAATTCAGGCAGAATTTCAGCAGCAAAGCTTGGGTGTATATTTTGATACCAGAGTAATTAGAAAACAAGTTCCATTATAAAAGGAAAAGCAACTAAGATTTATAACATAGGAACTCACTTTTTTTTTCTTTTTTTTACAGATTTTCATTAATTGTACAATGGTAACCACAACATCAAATACGTGTGACTTTTTTTAGGCAGACAGAGTTTAAAGTATGTTTTTTTCTCTAATATTTAGATCAAATTTCCTTTTTCTTTTTGTTAACCCAAGACACTAGCAGAGGAGGATATTACTGTATGTTGTAAAAGGTTATTTTGATTTCCTTTCTGCATAGAGCTGGGTCTTCTCTCTACTGCTCTCTAAAGATCAAAAGAAGATGAAAAAAAGAACCAAATAAGCCAACAGAGAACAAAAGACCCATGATAAGAGAGTTTCTATATTGCCTGAGTGGTAGTTTGCCATAAGGACATTGTTGTCAAATGAGTGCACAAAAGTTAAGCAAAGTATGAAAAAGTTGATGGAAACAGTCCATCCTTTGAAGAGGTAGCTGGTGACTAAGAAGTCCTCAGGCCATGATCACATCACCCAGAAACCACATGGATTACCTTGTAGAACAACTATGGTCCCCATTCTGGGATCTCTAGGCTGTTTAGGGACTGTAAAGATTACACTCAGGATCCAGAGCTATTTTCAGTGAAGGGAAATTACACACCCTCCCAGCAGGAGCCTCCAGGAGCCAGACTATCCATCTAAATGCATGAAGCAGAAGTAACACCATAGGGAATGGTGTAGCCTTTGGCAAACCAGAGAGCACTCATCCTACCTCAAAATATTCAAATTCAATTTTACCAAAACTGCCAAATAGACTCTGAGCTAATTTGAGCAGTCAGAGGGCCAAATTGCAACTCTGCCTCCCAGGCTAGCTCAGACAGACTGTTGGCTGGAA